CTTTGTAATCACTGAGTTCGTGTCCGGGTTCAGAAAACTTTACTGATCGGATCCAGATCCAAAGAAATATCTCATGTATATAATAATCTTTTTGGGATTTCTTTCAATTTTTCTCTTAAAAGATCCATCAATCGGGTTCGGGTCCAGAAATTCTTGAATTCTACAGACTGTAGCTTCAATCCTTAGATGTACCCTGTATTAATATTGTTTCGTGACAGTTGGAGAAAGTCCACTGTACTTTCGCCAACACACTTATCAGAATTTCGCCAATTGGCGAAAGTACAGTAGAATTTCGCCAATATACCCCTGGGCTTTCGCCATTGGCGAATGTTCTATTGGCGAAAGTCTTATTGGCGAACTTCCGGTAACCCGACGAAACAATCTGTATAGAAAAAAACATTAAATAACCATTTCTATAGGTATTGTTTTATGTAATTTACTCAATTATTTAGTACTCGGAATAATAAAATATACAGATATTTCATTTCAACCACAAAAAAGTCGTGTAAGAGATAATATTTTTTAATTGAAATAAATAATATGAATAGGTTCTAGTTTCTCTGTTCCCAAAATATTCATCTATATTTGGGCACATGTAGACCAGAATTAAACTTTCCTGATCAAGATTTATTTGGTCCATATATGTTATTTGATAAATATGATTTAGATAAAATAAAAAAAACAAATTTAAATAAATAATTTTGCTTTTTGTTTTTCAAAGATTGTTGAAACACTTTCGAAAATCTCTCGATCCAATTAGCAAAAAGAAAGAATTAACACCATTTCTATTTAATAACCTAGTGACTTATTCAAGTATACAAAAAAATGATAGCAATGAAATATTACCAACAATGCAAGGGGAAACAGCTAATTCCTTGATTTCGTAATTCTATTGATTCCAAATTATTCTGAGTGATTCCACTGATTCCAGCTGATTATGCCACACGGAATCAACTGTTTCCTCCGTGGACTATACTATGGAGATATTCATAGAACCTCAAAGGATATTATACAGGTGTACCCATAAGTACTCAAGTTCTATATATAGAGGTATCCATAGGCCCTCAAAAGCTATACTATGGGAGTACTCATAGGTCCTCAAGGGCTATTATATAGATGTACCCATAGGCCTTCAAGGGCTATACTATGGACGTACCCAAAGATCCTCAAGATCTATTATATAGGAATACCCATAAGTCCTCAAGTTCTATTCTATACAGGTATCCATAGGTCCTCAAGAGCTATACTATTGAGGTGTCCATAGGCTCTCAAGGTCTATTGTATAGAGGTATCCATAGAACCTCAAAGACTATTATATAGGGGTATCCATAGATCCTGAAGGCCTATATTATGGGGTACTCATAGATCCTCAATATTCATATTATAGGAGTACTAATACGTGCTCAAAGCCTATACTACGAAGGTATCCATAGACCCTCAAGGCCTATACTATATAGATACTCATAAGACCTCAAGAACTGCTCCTATAAGAGAGCCCTTGAGGGCCTATGGATACATATGTCTAATATACCATGGGGACTTATGGGTGCCCCTACCGGATAGTCGTTGAAGACTTATGGATACCCCCATAGAATAGCCCTTGACGAACTTTGGATACCTCTATATAATAAACCTTGGGGACCTCTGGGTATCCCTATATGTTAGATTATGAGGACCCATTGGTACCTCTATATTATAGCCCTTGAGAACTTATAGGTACTCTCATAGTATAGGCCTTGAGGAGGTACTGGCACGCCTAAACTATCGATGATTTAGTAAATCATTGATTTGTTACATATGTAGCCAGTCCGACTGGTACTCACTTAAATGGAACTAGTCAATACCCAGTTACAAGGGATCCTTTTTCATATGCCCCGAACATTCACATGTTTCAGCTAACAATAACGGAAAGAAACAGTCAAAATAAAAAAAGAATCACACTGATTCAACAATGATTCTGAGTGATGCCGAGTGATTCTCAGTGATTCCAATGATTCCAAGTGATTCTGTCGGCTGAAATCAGCTGTTTTCCCCCTTCCCAACAATGTCTTCACTTGATGAAGCAATACCAGTCCAAGATTAAATTGCTTTCCGGTTTTTTCCTTTAATGAGCTTATTTATTCAAATTATTTGGTAATATGAATGATGATAATTCTCGAGTACTTTTGTATTATGCATCAATTGAAACAGTTTTTTCTGCAAGTGAACAAAATGATCTTTATAGACGTTTCATTGAAAAGAAAAGGGTTGGTGTCTTAAAAAAAACAAAATGCTTTTTTAGTTGTATCCACACGCGCACTTTTTTGCTTTATATGATAAATCTATTTGCTTGCTGCTCTTGCTGTTTTTTTTGCACATGATTTTATTTGTTTGTTAGACAGGCTAAATTACAACATCAATCATCTTTATGTCATTCATGTCATTATGCATATATTCATCATATACCGTCATTTCATACAATCAATTTATCTTAAACAACAACAAAACAAGAATAATCATTTATGAAAACAACAAGTAGTTCAACAAATTTAACTGAATACTTTTACCAACGTCATTTATTGCTGCTAGTGCAGCATGAACACTTTCATCATTAGCGGCAATGACAAATAATAATTCAAATGATTTGATATCACCATTATCCAATTATCGTTTATCAACATCAATCTCTTTTCTTTCATTTTCAATATAAAGAGAGAGTCCACCATAGCACCGACTATGACTGGCATCTGTTAAAATTTATTTTTTTCTATTTGTTTGCTAGATCGATAGAGTATGTTATGAAACTAAGAAAAACAAAATATGTTGTTTTGAAAGTATTCCCTTCACAAGATTTACGCCCAACAATTTTGACCACTAAGGATTAGTATACATAAATATGCCTCTTTTAGCCAACTTTAGTATTTAGCAGGTTTCGTAGCTTTCCTTCGTGAATAAATAGAAATATATAGGGTCTTAAAAACAGCACTTACATAGGGTTTTTCTAATATTATAGGAAAACACATAGGAACAGCCTGTTTTTCCGAAAGAACACTTTAAAAGATTTGAGAAGCACTGGAATAATGTGTAAAAAACATACACAGTCTATGTCTCAAATTAAGAAATAATTTCTATGAATGCAAACTCGACTTATTGCAAAAAACAATAAAACTTTTTTATCCGAAAAGTTAAAAATTAAGTGATGGTTTCTGTTAGATTTATTGACAAGCGATTACTAACACATATGCACATATTTATAAAATATGCTAAAATAGGAAAATTAACAAAGAAGAAAAAAATAGTTGTGTATTGTTTTTTTTCGCTTCAATTATCTGTTTTTTCCCGTTCTCATGTGATGCATGTAAGTATATTCTAATCAACATGTACGTAAATACGAACAATAATCATAAAGTGAGATGTATTTTTTAATCGACAGAGATCATTAACGTAACTGTGCTTTTTTTGTCTTTTTGTTATTCTTCAACAAACAATTTCTTATTTTCTTATAAAAAACTATATGAGCTTGTAACAAAATTAGGAATACAAATTTCGATACGGAATACTGCTAATTTTCAGATGCTGAATTTTTTAAGTAAACCTCGCTTGATACTCGCGACAATGTCTTAATTATAAGGTTGGAAAAAATTTCTCACCAAAACACTGCAGTGGTGCGACTGTTTGTTTTACTATCGATATTGCAAAAAAAGCTTTTATTTAAACTTATCATTTTAGTTAAATGTTTAGAAACAATAATATAATAAATGGTAGATATATAACAAACACAATCACTATATGTTTTTTAACCATTATCAATGCTTTCTGCATAAGTATATTATACATTGATCATTTATTAATCTCTCTGCTAACAATGGCTAGCATCAGTTGTCCTCTCATAGCTCTAATGTCAAAGATGACCAACTAAAAGACACTAGCGTCTACTTTCTTCACTATTTTCGATTCTATCTCGAAAAAGGACTAATCCTGAAACTCTTTTGCTGAGATGATGCTTCAGCAAATGAAACTACTTGCTAACCTCGAATAATGTTGTGTGATTTCTATATCTTAGAATATCAAGCTTTGTATTTGGATGAATATATTTTAATTTTCTATCTTTAAGTTGATCGTAGCACAAGGTACTATCATATAATGCATACGTTCGCGAAGAGAAGTATTAGATCTGATAGTAATACTTAGTAAGATGATATAATACAAAACTCGGTATAAATTTCGCAAATCTAAGCCATCTTCAGAAAAATCTGCAGTTGAAAAACAGAATGAACGAATCATCCCAATAAATGTGATGTTGGACTGCAAAATTTGGATATACTATCGATAGCTTTTATTTATATTGTTGTTGAAAGAACCGGTTATACAGAAAGAAGCATGTTCGACTTTTGCACACAAATGCAAAGTTTTCAAAAACAATTTTTTCACTTTCTCGAATATATAGGAAATAAAGGACGACTACGAAGCCTGACATTAACATTGATAGAAACAGATTTCGTATAAAAACATTATTTGACACATAGTCAATCTTATTGAGTTTCATCAGATAAAAGTCCAAAAGTGAATGATTATTCAGTCATTCAATTATATCCAACAGAAAATGTCTTAGCGCTATCTTTAATTTGGTTGCTCTTTTCAGAACAAAACAATGAGAAAAAAAAAACAAGAGAAATGAATTAAAAATTTATGTCGCATACAAGTGACCGATCGTCATTGACACATTATGTGTAATTGTTATGAATAGAGAACAAAACGCAGTATGGAGATTAAATTAACTATGAAAACAATTGGCCAAAGATTGCTTAATCATTGTCAACAGCATATACTTTTACGAAATAGATGATAGTTCAACCAATATTAGTTCTGTTCAAATTCGGTTCGGTTCTTTTTCAGTCTCTGGTTCACATCGTACAAGATTAGTTATTCTTTTCTTCAGCCTAGATCAGCTATTTTCTCCTTAAGTATTTATATATTAATTTCAACTTTATTCAATAAAAACAAAAAAAAAGAAAAGATAGTTATTTCCGTTGTAAATGTATCTTTTTATACACACGTTTGATTATATAATTGAACAATAATTTTTCTGAACGAATTATCTTATCGAAATTTTTAATGATTTCATCATCCGTTGTTGGAACATCAAAAATTAAAGAACGAAGACAATCACTACTATTATCAATTTTGTTGAGGATTGTTCGTAAAAACCATTGAATATCTATCTTATTTATATATTTCGTTTCAAAATATGCCATACGAGGACAAACTTTTGAGATATTATAAAAATCGTGAATAACATTGATTTGTTTAATATAAACTTTCGTAATTTTAATTGGATTATTGATTGCAACAATACGGTAAAAGTCTATAGAACTTAAATTTATTTTTTCCTTGTATGATAATGAATTAAGTTTTAATGTTATTAGAAATGGCAATTGATTTACCAATTTAATTAACATACCAAGGAAGATAGATTTTTCAATATTTAAATGATAAATTTGTTTTATACTTATAATACGTTTCATTTGTTCGAATATAATGTCATCATATAAAGAAATAGAATTAGTCAATATTAAACTAGTTGATGTTGAATATTCAATATTCTTATTATCTATATAATCATACCAGGTTTTTCTGAAAAAAATAAACAGAAGAATTAATTTCGTATAAAATATATTGATTGATATACTTGTATGGATAAATGATATATTTGATATCTGTATTATCAATTTTGAGATGAAATATCCATTTTCGTTCAATCCAAAATGTTGAAAAAAATTTATTTATTCGTTCAGAATATATTTCATATTGTTTATCATTATCAATACAATCATAATATGTGAAATAGAATCTTTCTAATTGAGGATAATAATGTAAAATAAATTGTTCCCATCGATGAGCATCAAGAAAAATAATATTTTCTGAACAATTAATAAATAAGATTTTCAAATTTGAACATAATTTATTTGAGAATATTTCTAATTCATGATCTTTATTTATCATTTCTTCATAATAAAATAAAAAAACATGTATTTTAATTAAAATTGATGAAGAATAAAGAAGTTGTTCAAAACGAAAATTAAGTTTAGAAAATGTTTTAACTATTTCACCACCATCGAAATAATCAAATACTTCATAAAAAATTTCATTTGATAAGTCTTCAATAGAAGTTATTGATTGATCTATTCATATAAAAATAATATTAATCATCTTATTTTCAGTAGATAAATAACTTACTTCGAAATGTATTTCTTGATTCATTTAATATTTCATTGAAAACTATCTTTTGTTTAAGTGCATTCATTTCTATTGTATCGTTATGCTTCATACATATATGTATATATATATTTCATCATTCCAACATTTACAATAGACTTTTATATGCGAATGAGACAAAAAAGAAGAAAAAAAAAAGGCTAATAAGGTCAATTTCAGACAGAAAAGAAAGAGTTAAAGGTGATTGGATAATCATTTCATAAATTTGAAATGAACTGCGCACTCTGACGACACATTTGAATGAATATTTTATCAATCTATACTTAAGATGCTTTATGAAATATATTTTTGTCAAAAAGAACTATGATAGAACAAGAAAATGTATGTAAATATTAAAAAGTTTTTATGAAAAATAAAATGAATAATAATGTTTAGTATAGTTATATCCATTCTAGATAAATTTTATCACATAAACTTTGAATTGTATCATCAACAAGTAGTTATTTTTTTACATCTGATCATTTTATCGAATTTTTCAATCATTTGATCATTAAAAGCACAAACAACAAAGTTAATGATTGATATGATTTATAATCTTAATTAAAATCTCTTTTATAATTACTTCAATATAAACATTATGAATAACATTGATTTGTAAATAGTTCATGCATGATGAAAATCTTTCAATTCTGCAATATGAAATACTTAGGGCAATCCAAAAGTTCTATCGTCGTTATCTTTTTTTCTCATAGAAAGCTTGGAAAATTTTTCTTTTTTTTATGAACAGATAGAGTGTCTTTCATTTTATGTTTCTATGCTATTTGATCGTTATTCAACTAATATCATAACAATAAAATTTCGATCAGAACTGTTTTTATTGAAAACTAGCTGGTGGTATATTAGATCTTAACGGGTCGAGCACTTTTGCATTTCACTTTATTATCACTTAATACGTTGTATTAAAAAAACAAAATATACTACAAGATGCAGCGTGAAAAGCTCTACAATTTACATAAGATCACTTATTTTATAGTTGCACTTTTTGTTTTCAAAGTGGACAAAACTCTGAGCGTGCAAATTTCGACGCTCCGCAAACGAAATTTTTTTTTGATAAAAAACGAGTTCATTTTTTCTTATCTCATCTTTTTATTACCTAATACGTTTTATCAAAAAAAACAAAATACACTACAAGATGCAGCGTGAAAAGCTCTACAACTTACAAAGAACAATTATAAAAAGATGAGATAGGAAAAAACGAAGTCGTCTTTTATCAAAAAAAAATTTCTTTTGCGCAGCATCGAAATTTGCACGCTCAGAGTTTTGTCCATTTTGAAAACAAAAAGTGCAACTATAAAATAAGTGATCTTATATAATTTGTAGAGCTTTTCACGCTGCATCTTGTGGTATATTTTGCTTTTTAATACAACGTATTAAGTAATGATAAAATGAAATACAAAAGTGCCCCATTTTTTATCCCACACCCGTTATGATCTAATATACCACCAGCTAGCTTTCAACAAAAACAGTTCTTATCGAAATTTTATTATTATGATATTAGTTGAATAATAATAAAATAGCATAGAAAAATAGAACGAAAAACGTTCTATATGTTCATAAAAAAAGAAAACTTTTTAAAGCTTTCTATAAGAAAATAAGATAATGACGCCAGAACTTTTGGATAACCCTAAGTATGTTATCCTAAACAAAGTAATAATAAAATAATTGGTTTTTTCTGATATTATGTTCGTCTTAAACACTTATGCAAATTTTACATGATCTTCAACATGATACAAATATAAAAAAAATTATTCTTTCCCAAGTTGCTGATACATCATTTGATTTATCTGCTGCTAATGTATTAACACAAATTTCAACTCACGGAAGATCAAGAAGACAACCAGCACAATGACTTGGTCGTATTGTACCACCTAAACAGATGCTCATATTCAAGAATAGAATAGTTTTTTTTATTCACTTGTTTCTCAAGATACTGCTCAAAATATTTTATTCAGATAAACGACAAAGTTTTCTTATTAATCAAGGTTATTCATACAAAATCATAACAGAAAAAAAAACAAATCTACATGAACATAAGGAAAAAATTTCATCGAACACATCCTACCATCGATGATTTCAATTCTAGGACGTGTTAAAACATCAAATAAAGTGAAATATGAACTATTTAAAAAATATTGAAAGTAATATTCCTAATGTACATTGTTAGGAGTAGTACTTTACTCTTACTCTATGAAATAAAGGTAAATAAAGACAGATTAAAGAAACAGAGGATTTTTCTTTTTCAAGAGATAATGATGTTGGAAGAGTACTACCACCAAAGAATTTATGTTCAGAAAGACTTTTATCATAAAATAAATGTATTTTTATCGAAAACAAGCTAGTTGAGACATACTATGATTTACTGCTTTTTCTCCAATATTTAGCAGACTTCGATTAGAAAAGTGAAGATTAAATCAAAACTAATATCATATTCTGCATCAGCATTAAAAATGGAACTGACCTATGAATATTTCAAAAAGTTTTAAGATCTCTTTCTTCATCGAAAAATTCTCTTGTACTCCCTCTTAGGATGATTAAGTCAAAAAATGAATTTTACTCAAAATTAGTCTTCACGATGGCAAACAAGCTCTCTAGTTGTAAAATGATAATGCAACACAAAATGGGCAATATTTAGATAACAAAAACATCGTTTTTTATGGGTTTTATTTTTTGCGACCCGATCATCCTGAGTGGGAGTATAGAAAAATTTTTCGATGAAAAAACAAGATCTTAAAAATATTTGAAATATTCATAGATCAGTTCCATTTTTAATGCTGATTCACAATATGATATTTGTTTTGATTCAATCTTCACTTTTCTAATCGAAGTCTGCTAAATATTGGAAAAAAAACAGTAAATCATAGCCTGTCTCAACTAGCTTGTTTTCGGTATAAACACATGTATTTTATGATAAAAATCTTTCTGATCATGAATCTTTATTTTCTAAAAATAACGAATTCATTTATTTATGTCACTTCTATACATTATTGTAGTAAAAAAATAAAGACATCAACTTTATGTTGAATTTTTCTTTATTCGGACCGGGCCGAAAGTCCGGGCCGAAAATTCCGTGGGCCGAAATTCATCGAACCCATTATTCTGATTTCAGTATGAAATAAGTCGAGTCATATGACGAATAATAAGATATTAAAAATGAAATAAATGAGCACAGAGTAGTTTGGATTTTTCTTTGTCAAATTATACTGCCGAAATTGAATGGTACCCAATTCATAATAAATAAATGAAGAAAATCTAACAAATTCTATTTTTTCTTTTTTATTGTCTAAATCAAAAGTTGAATAAATATCGTTTTGTGGTTTAAAAGAATTTTCCTAATACAATTTTTTATTAAAAATCAACAGATTACCAAGAATAGTGTTTTTGTTTTTATTCTGGTGAATAATATAAAATTTGTTACATCGAATTTCTTTGAGTCTGTAATAGGATTATTCATGATTATTATAAGCATATGTGTAACAAGCCATTGCAGAGCGTGTTTGCTTTACTTTTGACAACTTAGTATCTGTTTTCTTCGATACTGGTTAATTCGGAGTACTGTTGTCTTTTCTCTTTCATGTTGTTCTTTCCTCTCATTAAATATACATTGTCTCAAGTGAATATTCAAATGCAATATCATCAGTTATTGTTAGAATTTTTTTTAATTAATTTATATTCATTTAATTTCCTTTGAAATTTTTTGTTTTTAATAATGTTTGTCTCTGTATGTAATAACAAACAAAAACAATTTATCAGCAAAATATCAAAACCAAACAAAGAAAGATTTTTAAAGTGTTTGTTTTTTGTCTTCTTGTATGATAGCGAGATAGAATAATAATAAAAAAATATCATCTTTGAAAAAATTAGATGATTTGCATGTTAATCGGGAATTTCATTCTCAAAAATAAATATATCGATCGTTGACAAAAATATGGACCCGCTTAGACATAGATAAAATCAGATCAATAAAACAGATGATGCAAAAGATGTTTATTACGCCAAGTTCCTTCAGAACATAACTTGCATTTAGTGACAAACAAATTTTTTAAATATAATTAGTTTAGTGTTACAAAACAATAGGAATATATACTATTCTTTCAGTGAAATTTAATTTGTTTCTGTTTTTTCACCTGATGTTTCATCTTTCTGCTGTATATACGATTGATATGTACAAGCTAGTTTTAATATGGCATAATCAACTGTGTGAGGAAAAAAGATAA